ACCGCCTTGGAAACTTGGCAATTATCTCCCTACCTCTATTTTCTCCAATCCCATTCTCACCAAATAAACTTCTTATTAAAATATTTTCTCACGTGAATTTAACTATGAAGAGGGAATGCATCAACTCAAGTGTCTAAGAGAGTTCCATAATTATTTATCCATTCGCAATGAATACATTGACAATCTTCCTTGTATATGAGTATGATTAATGTGAGTCTATTCTTGACAGAGAGAGCCACAGAATCAGTTTCCAAACAGGACCTTAGCAAATTTATGAAGGGTATATCACCTATATCTCTGACGATGAAGTGCTCAGTATCTTAAAAATGTGGGATGATTCAAATAGACAATGAAAAAAACCCCAATAATATTACTGGAAATGATTCTGCTTAGGAGTGACATCATACTATCACCTAAGCCAAGGAAAACACTGTCAGTTCTTTGAGATATCAAGAGTGATTTCCAGCAGAGAAAGAAAAATTTCCTTAAGGACTATGTGGCAATCCAATCACTCCTACTTTAAGGAGTAAAACTTCCCTTTTAGTTTGTTTGTGTTTTTAAAAACATTTTTAAAAACATACACTTATGTGAGCCACTACTTTGAGTTCCCTCGTAGAAAAGAAAGGAAAGCAACATATAGGAAAATTAAGACAGAGATTCAATGCTAATTGGGATTTTCATTAGTTTATGATATTTCTGTCTGTAGAAAACTCATAATGATTAGAACACCAATTGACAGAATCTGAAAAATTGCTAGAAATGATGGGAGACGTTGAAGTCTAAGGATTGTTGGGATTACTCCTTAGGGAGACCTTGATGTCACTTTTCAAACATATATTGAAAATTCATACAAAAATGAACAATAGCATTGTAGGAAAAATATTCTTCCTAATCTGGATGTTTTCTACTGTTACACTCTACACCATAGGAGTTTTTATTCAAATTTTTTTAGAGATGGTAATTTAACCTTTTGACTTCAATAATTGTTTGGCTTGAAAATACATGAGGTACAGATCCAAAATTCTATAGAGATATTTCATGATGTAGAATCAGGATTCAATCACCTTTGAGGAAAAATACCTGTGCATTAAAAAGCAAAAGGCAGAAGGCCTTTTATTTATTACATAAATTAACATTTATGTAATGTTTTTCATGATCTCTACTCATCTTTTTCCTTCACAGTTTGAAAATGTAGAAGTAAATAAACAAAAGAGAGAAATTAATATGTAAATCTACTATGTTTTTGGTAAACAAGGAATAATCTTTCTTGCTGATTTTACTTATTTAAAAGATTTAAAAAATCTGTTCTGCTTCAAATTTGTATACCTTAGCAGCTACTGATCAGGAATTCTGAATGACTGATTAGCTTTCTATCAAAAATATAAATGTCACACACGTGTTTTTAGGTTACCATAAGAAAATAGAACCAATTTTCCCATTTAAAAACATGTTTGATTAACTCTGATTAACCACATATCCCTTCTTTTAGTATCTTAAAAGTCTATCTCTTCTTTTCTCCATTATATATCACTCTCCAAAGCTCCTCCAGCCCAAATCACATCTTTATTATTTTTTATAACTCATTTAACAAACTTTAACCTCTGAAAAAATGATAAAACCAAAGTCAAAGCAGTATTCTAAATTATGAATCTACCAAACTCAACTGTAGAAGGCTGTAACATGATGCTTCTATAAAACGAACTGCATTAGCTCTCATTTGCTGTCATATCGTATTGCAAGTTCAAGTTATCTGGTTCCTCGTTATCACCTTGGGTTTTTTCCTTTTCTTTTTTTTTTCTAAGTACTTCTAATGTCTCTCAGATGTGGATTTGATCTAGTTTTTATTGCATAACCATTGGGTCCATTCTTTAATTTTTCATATTTATATTTTTACTCTTTTCTAGTTCCTTTTTAAAGCACTGTTTAGAAATAGAGCTTTCGCTTGTCATTTTGATTATATGTTTCATAAGTAGTTAAAGAATAAACTTTAATAAAAATACTTGCAGTGCAACCATTCTCTACAATGATATATAATGGCAATCATTTACTATATCCTCTTATTTATGAATCTGTAGCCATTTAAATACATATAGTAATCACACTTATAGCAATTTTTTGTGAAAAACTTTGATTTTTAAAATTAATTATGTCAATGATAATAGTATGTGAGTGAGTAATCTATTATGTAGAGATAATCTGCCCTAATCTACTTCAAAGGAATTATTAGAGGAAAATCTCCCAAGTTACCCAATATCAAACTGAGGTGTGGGGATGAATTTCCACCCCCATTCTAAATCAACACTGTGAATATAAAGCAATGTAGCTTTCTTATGGCTATAGCATACAAGCTTACAATTTTAAATCACTTTAACTTAGTAAAGACAAATTTAGTAGATAGATGACCAATTAAAGAGATGTTGGGATTTTTGTCAAACTATTTCAACATAGAATTATAATAATCAGAGTATATTTTAAGTGCATATTATATGTGAGATATTTTTATAATTTTAGATATATGAAGGAGAGATGTTAAAATAGCATTCATTGGATGATTTCTATTTATTTAACAAGTATTTTTTCAGCACTTACTTTGTGCAAGGTACTATAAATGCTGTGGATAGAGTAGTGAAGCAAACAAAACAAAACATATACCTGCCTTCAGGGAACTTACATTTAAACAGGGAGAGACAGACAATTAACATGATAAATAATAACTTATATGTTAGAAGATAAGTATTTTGTTTAAAAAATTAGCAAGCTAATGAGGATGTTAAACTATTATAACTATACTACTATAATCAGTTATAATCTAGATAGAAAATCATTCCAAAAGCTAAAAAACTATGAAAGGAAGGCTGGAGAAATTAGAGACAAGCTTTGAGAGATGGCTAGGATAATAAAAAGATGGGAATAGTGCAAGCAAAGAGGTAGGTGCAGGAAAATGCCCAAGTATCAGAGGAGAATCAACAATGAAGAGTGAACAATAGTGAATATGGGAATAAAAGACAGTGGGAAGAGAGAGAGGATATGGCCAAGAGGTAGAACCCTGAATGGTCAATGAGCTAGGGGGCAGTTAAGAGCCTAAGAGTGACATATAAAAGTAGTATATGATGATAGTTTATATTACAACATTGTGTAGATGGTGAGAAAGAAGATAGGATCATTGCCTTGGCTTTTGGAGATTACCAAAAGAAAATAGTGTTACCAAATGTTACCCCCTCCTAAATAAATGGATAAAAATATTAAGTTAAGCTTTCAAGTGAAAACCTGAGAACATTTTAGAAAATAACTACTTACAAGAGAATTGACTGAATGATAACAAACTAAACCACAGATCTTGGCCAGTAGACCAAACACTGCAATAAAGTCGAACCATAAACACAGTGAACAGTTTTAATTTAATTACTCTATTAGAAACATCATCAAAGAAGCTACTCAGGAAAATTAAACAAATGTGTGGTTCTGACAAAAAAGAAAGAAAATGTATAAACTGTAAGCTCAGAATACAACCATGACTGGGCATAGACAACATGAATCAATATTCATCTGAGTCTGAAGATCTGTGATGTTTTGACTCTAATTTCCAAGATACTATGTTCACATTAATAGTATATTCTTTTCTCTGACCAGTAGAGACTATTCAAGTACCAAAAGTTAAAATAAAATTGATTTTATTTGTATAAAATCTTCTGTTATCTGAAACTGTTATTAAGAGAGATATTTGCCTTAGTCCACAATCCTCCAAACTGGAATATTTTCTGTTTATTTGTGTATATTTGCAAGTTAAACTGATATCAAAATGAATTTTCTATAATTTTTCCTCTTCTATGTTCATCTCCATTTTACATTTTGAACAAAAATTTTTATTTTAAGTAATTATATTAATGTCATGTGTGATATCCAAAGATAGAGAAAGAATTTTTAATAGTCATGAATACTGATCCAATTATTTTCAGGGACAAGCATATATATCACTATGTAGATGGGAAAATAAAACTACGAGACTAGACTTACACGGGGAAAAAACAAAACCAGTGAAGGCAGCAACAAACAGAAATTGACTTCTTTAACCAATGATGCCATAATCATGTGTAATGCTTTCAAACTACTATTTGTATTTATTGAACCCCCATATGATGAGCTTGCTTTTGAACATATATGGTATTAAATATGTATTTCACTATAAAACTAAAGGAAAATACATGTGAAGAATTTTTATCTGACATTATGATAAGAAAAACCTTTATAAAGTATAAAGGTAGTGGGAAAATCTATATAGGAAAAAATAGATAAGTTTACCAGATATAAAAACTTTAAAATTCTACAACCATAAGCGAATTAATGAACCCCAACCCACATATGCACCATATAGAGACATTAATTCAAATGGATCATAAACCTAAATGTAAAAACAAAAACTAAAGTTTATAGAAGAAAACATAGGAGAAAAATCTTTGTGACTTTGAGTTAAGCAAGGAATTCTTAGATGGGATATAAAAAACATGAGCCATAAAAGGAAAAAAAATACATCAATTGTATTTGATAATTTTGAACTTCTGCTTTTTGAAAATCACTGTTAAGAAAATGAAAAGACATGCTACAAATTGGGGAAAACTATGTTCAAAATACATACCTGGTAAATGAGCAGTGTCTAAAACACATTTAAAAACTCACATCCAATTATACAAAAACAATGCAATAAAAAATAGGCAAGAGATATGAACATTCTACCAAAGAAGATATATGGATGGCAAATAAGCACATAAAAAAGTCAGACTCTCATAATCATTAGTTATTAGAGAAATACAAATTTAAAGCTATGAAGACACACCACTACACACCTATTAGCATGAGTAACATAAAAAATATTGCTAATATCAAGGGCTGGCAAGGATGTGGAGCAACTGGATTCCTTACACATTCCTGCTGGGAATGTATAATGGTACATCCACTTTGGAAAACACTTTGGTGATTTCTTATAATGTTAAACATATACTCACCATATGATTCAGCATAGGTATTTCCCTAAGAGAAATGGAAACATATGTCTACACAAGAACCTGTACACAAATATTCATAGCAACTTTATTCATAATCACAGAACCCAAAGTTCATCAACTGATAAACTGATAAAAAATGTAATAGTAGTTAGCAATAAAAGGAATGAGCTCTTAATACACATATATGTAACAACATAGATGAATCACAAAAGCGTATGCTAAGTGAAAAAATAACAGACTTAAAAGGTACACACTGTGTGATTCCACTTAACATGACTTTCTAGAAAAGTGAAAGTATAGGGACAGAGAAAAAATTCACTGGCACCAGGGGCAACAGATGGTGGAGGGGACTGACTATAAAACAGCAAGAAGGAACTTTCTGAGGTAATGGGAATATTCTTCATCTTGATTAAGGTGGTCACTACATGACTGTGTACATTTGTCAAAACTCACAGAACTGTACACCTAAAATGGGTAAATTTTTCTGTATAAAAATTCTACCTCAGTAAATCTGACTTAAAGAAATTTTAAACTTCTGTCAATCAAAAGTTACCCCTTCTCAGCCGCAAAAGAAAAATTAGAAGGCTAAAGATAGAGAAAAATATTTGTAAAGTATACAATAGAGTATTCAAATCCTTAATATATAAATAGCCAAAAATAATAAGCATCTCAATAAGAAAAATGAGCAAAGGATATGAGAAAATAATTTATAATAGAATTCAAATAATAAACAGATAAAAGATCAATTCAATAAAAAATTATAATTGAGATAAAATATAAGGTTGTTAAAACTTTTTTAGAAAAAAAAACAATAACCAGAGTCAGTGAGGATAAAGGGAAATAAATATTTCTGTACACTCTTGGTAAGGTAATAAATTAGTTCACTATTTTGGGGAGTAATTTAGCAATATCAAAAAATTTTAAAAAATATGTAGCACTTTACCCATTTACTTTATCCTGAAGAGGATAATTAAAAGGGAAAAACACAAATATTTATGTACAAAATGTTGTGGCAACTTTTTTTATAATAGTAAAAAATATTCCTTCCAAAAAATATATATCATGATTATACAAAACAAAATCAAGTTATCGAGGTAGAAATAAGAATATAGGGAAATGCTCATCTATAGTTAAAGGGAAAAAGCAGAAAATAAAATTGTCTATATAATGTATTACCACTTTTGTAACTATATCTACACAATATACAGGACATGGACCAAAATGCTAATGGTAATTATAGCTAGATGATTCTATCTAAATTTTTTAAAACTCTTATTAATAAACCTATATTAGAATATTTTAATAAGTTAATTTTTAACACATTTTTCACACAGTAACTTACATATGGTAAGGCATCTTTCTAAATCAGCTTTTGATATTTTTAAAAACAGAATCTGGTGTATGATAAACTGCTTTTCCAAAACATCTAAATTGGTACGTACACAAACTTAAAGATAAAATGCAGTTTTCTTCAGAGTTGCAACAAAATTATCAGTTTTTTAAAATAACTGACATTATAATCTACTACTTTTCTTGAAGTTTTATAGTTAAAATAAGTGATCCTCAAACCTTGTGGCTCCAAATCACCTGGGGGAAATTCAGAATTAGGATGTCTGTGGGAATTACATTGTAAAAAATATCATTCAAATCTAGGAATTTTAAGGTCCTTGAGGGAAAGAATCATGGGTTTTTAAATTATTTTTTCAGTTCTAGAAGGTATCTAAGAGCCTATCACATAGTAGGAAGTCCACAAGTGTTACATTTAAAAAAATTAACATAAGATCAAACAGCAACATGTAGTAAGTCCAAGTTAAATGATTTTATTTTTTATTTTAAACTACAATCTGCTGTTTTCAATAACACAGACTGTTGTTTTTTGAGAAATGCCAAATGTTTACTTGAAATCTTGAGTCCATGATGGAGTTTGGATGACTCCATCCAAACTTGTATTGGCAAGAACCAACAATTAAAGGCAAGGTTCTCTTTAGTTGGTAGAACCTACAAGTTTATATGGTTTATGCATCCTCCTGTTTTGATCCACATGCCTGGATTTATTTTGGAATGGCAGTGGAATCTGAATCAATGAGGTATATTAATAATGGAAAAAACTTTCAAGAAGTTCTAAGAAAATATTTAACACTAATCAGCACCACCACCACCACCACCACGCACATCTGGTTAGGAATTGATATTCTCACTTTAACAATCTGTAATGCAGATGAAGGCAGGAGCCTCAACTGTTTGGCTCACCATACTATTACACCCAACCCTCAAATATTAGCTCAATAAATAGATTAATCACACTAAGTTTTTAGTTTGGAGAAACAGAAGCAGAAAAATGAGAACTATTTGCCAAATTACAATATTATCAATTAGTAATTACTAGGCATCTCCTACTAAAGCCTGTAAATTAAGCAGTTCCATAGCAGATTGGATTCAAATTAAGAAAATTTAATTTTGTTTTGAACCAACTGCTAGGATCATGTTTCTTAAGAGCCCCTTTAGAAACATCCTGGCCCAGAATAATTTATATTTATTTATTTTTACCCAAATGGATATAGGAGCAAATACTTTTCCAGTTTAGGAATGATGACATTTTAAAAATTAATAAAAATAAAAATGAAAGTACATGGCATTTGTTAAAGGGTAATAAAATAACTCCAGTCAATTGGCTAGTTCTACACCAGTAGATTTCTTTAAATAGTAATGAAATCATTGCTTTAAAAAATCCATCATTATTAAAATAAAAAAAAAGTTGCCTCAGCCTCTGCCAAAATTAGATTTGTAAGTTGCTGGTCATTCCTATAATTAAATCTGTGTCACAAATTTGCAAGAAAAATGGTCACTGTGACTAATGCATTTACTTGCTACACAAGTCCTGTCAGACAGCACAGAGCATTACTCGGCTAAAATGGAGTAGGTAAAGATTCTGTACATTTTTATTAAGTAACAAAGACCATTTTTTATTTACAATGATCATACTTCAGATAAGAATTTGTTTTAAAAACAAATCCGAATGCAGCTATCACAGGGTTTCCCTTACGGAAGCATGATAGCATATTTTTATCTCTATAAACATGTGCTCTTTGGTGTACACATGCATACTGCTTTTCTGGACAGGTGTTATGTGGAAAATACTCTATCTACTGAAAGCACCACAAACACGTTCAGTTTGCCAGAGTCCCCAGTTCTGCAGGTTTTCTCATTTGACCTCCCTAAATGGTTTTAATTGACCTCTTTGATAAAGGGACTGAGAAATGACTTCAGAGAACAGCATTTTCCAAAGTGTAAGTCAAATCAAGATGACTTGAAGGAGGCATGGACAGAGAATTCGTGATTAAACTTGCTCTCTTTTCAAATATTTTTTCAATCCTTCAGATTACAGAAAGGGAAAGTTCTTGGTTTGGTATTGGTACTAACTTAACCTTTTATCAAAAGAAAGGTAGTCATCAGACTCAGAGCCTTATGTAGGCAGCAGAGGTTAGTTACAAATTCCTAGTAGCTTTTTTTCCATTTGATTTAATTTGTTACCTTCTATTCATGACAAGATAGTTTGTTTTTTTAATTCATAGTGTTGATGTAAAGTTTGGCTTGGAAAAATTTTTTGATTTAACAAGTGAGTCTTACTTAACTTTAGTCTTATTTAATAAACAGTATGCTGACATGGCAAAAACCACAATGGTGCCTGAATGCCAAAAAGCACTGCATTGAAGGCACTTTTTGTCTTCCCTCTTTCTTAAATCTTGTGTTGTTACTTATTTTTCACATATTTATGTTTTGTGTATTTGCCTCAGTATCTAGAAAAGTGCCTTGAATCTAATGGAGTCAGAGTATATGTGTGTTAATTTTCTATCCTATGTTCATATTTTATGCCACACTGCTCATTGAACTAATAGTATTTTTTAAAGGGAATGTAGTCTGTTTTCAGAAATCAGCTTTCATGATGTTCATTTGCCCAAAGAGTTGATCAAATGAAATACATAGCATGGTGATGGGTTCCATTTTGTAAAGGTGGAAACCAGCTTCTATTTATCGGAACACAGTTTGTAAGACAAGTTTTAAAGCCCAAGATGTGCCATTTAGAAAGCTGGTTTTATCAAGTTCTTAACAGTAAAAGGATGAACTTGAAATGCATCCTATAAGATGGTACTGAATACTGCTTAAAAATTAAGTTGGTTGTTTATTGTGACATTTAAGTTTAATAAAAAAAAACCTGTGTTATAAAGAAGTCATGAACTTTTGGGGTAGATAGCAAGATCCTGAGTGAATAATTTGGGTTTGTCAAGATTTTAAGAAAATTAAGTGCAAAAAAAAAATCAGCATAGTCTTCAATTTGGTATAAAATGAGATACTCCATAATCTAAATACATCCTAGACTTAGGTAAAAGCAAAACAAAGTTAACAATAGAGTCTTGTCTAGAACCATTCTTAAGCCTCTTTGTTAACATTTGAGATTCTTGCCCTAATTTTTAAAAAGCAGTGTCCCACCCCAATCAATGAGCAACAAAGTTAATGTGCCTCCTCTCTGACCATTCTAAATGTTTTGGAAATTCTTATGTCTACATTGCCATGCATTGTTCTAATGCTGTGTAACGTAGTTATTAGAAACTCAGTTTGGCAGGATCATCTTTTTCATTCACTAGGGTTTCCCTTCAATCTCAGGAGTTACCAAAATAGCCTTGTATTTTTGTACAAGAAAGAAAAATTAAAGAAGGTGATAAACATGTATCACAAGCTATCAAAACATAGCATTTGTGTTTGGGATTTGTTTTCTTTTAGCAACTACAATAACATTAATTAACTATTCAAACCTTTCTATAAAGTGAGACAATAAGGGGTGGGGGCAGCCAAAGCAAAGAGGGAAGACAGAGCAATTGGGTAAAAGAAGAAAAATATGTGCTGGCTAGTTCTTCAGCCCAAGGCAAGGAGTTACTTTTAACCTCTCATCTAGCATGAAAAGAAAACTGTTCATCTTAGAATAGCTTCTGCTAGTTCCAGTAATGAGTATTTTAAAGGAGAATTATGAGACAGAAATCCATTTCTTGACATTTGAAATGAAGAGATTTAGAAAGTAAACAATGACTCTCATAGATCTTTTTTAGACTAGATCTTTGGATTCACAAAGATAATTTAAATTTGTAACTCCTTGATATGGTTTCTGAAATTCTTACATTTATGTTGCTATGAATTGCTCTAATGTTGGAGTAACATGGTTACTAAATACTCAATTTGGCATGATCACCTTTGTCAATCACTATGGTTTCCTTTCAAGATTAGGAGTTACCAAAAATTATAAAATAGGCTGAAGAATCTTAAAAAAGAGTTCTATCTCTTCCTTTTAAACTTTTACCTATAATTCTTGGAGATACGGAAACACTGAATTCAACCTCTAAACAAAAAATGCTAAAGTTCTAACAAATCATGTGATCTAAATTTAGTTTCAGGAATTTTTTTTCAACACAATTGAATCTTTTGAAATGCAAGTGAGAATTTTTCAAATACATTTTTCCCCAAAAGTTGCCAATATCTATTTTTTAAAAAAACCCAAAAAACCTTCTTTTGATGAAGAAGCAACATGTGAGATGCTTGAACTTGAAATACATAGTTTTACATAGAAAAAAAATGTATATAAATTTTGATAGCATTTTAGTTATTCAGGGTGCTTGACTATCAAATTTTATTAAAACTTCATTAAGAGGGAAATCTCAAATCACTTATTATGCTCCACAATTATTGTAAATGGAACAATTTAAATGAGAGGAGGAGATAATGACATTAACTTCTTAACTTAAAGCAATCCTCTGTGGCATGATTTTAAAATATTCTCTTGGTCTGAAATTTATGTAAATTGAATTCATCTATCATTAGTTATTACCAGCCTAGCTACATTAAAAAACAACAACAGTTTTCTGTAACAATTAGTTCTTAAAAACACTGTGTTTAAATTAGACCTGGGACATTATTAAACTAGCTATAAATATGTACAGTATTTTATTTGGTATACCCCAGATGTCTGAAAATCAACAAGAATGCCCTCAGAGTTCACTCTTCAAAAATTCTTCTAATAAAGGCTTTCCATTCAAAGTTTTAAGAAATAAATACCCTTTTCAGAGTCCATTACGTACATATGAAAGGAATGACCACTCATAATCAGAGAATAATCATTGAATCACTATATTTTAGAGCTTGTATGGCTTAGAGATAATAAATTTCTTCATTCTATGTATGCCTATAGTCATATACAAAAAAAAAAAAAATCATGGCAGAGCCTGGACAAAACTTAGATCTAAATTTTTGCTCAAAGGGATTTCTATCATATCATACAAGCATTTTATACAGATTATTCCATTTAGTCCTTGCCACAACTCTACAGTTTGGGTACTATCATTGCCCCATTTTATATGTAGGAAAGGTTATATACAGTTGAGTTAGTATTCTGTCATTAAGGACTCAAACCCAGACAGTCTGACTCCAGAAACCATACTACTACCCATAATCCTAGATTTTAAGGATAGTTTCCATTTATAAAGAAAATTCCCAGATGACTATAATAAGTGCCACCCTTTAAGAATAATAAAATATAAAGGTCCTAATTTAGAATTTCCCTCCTCTAAATAAGTCCTCTTCCCAATCCCAACTCAAGCACCAACTTCTTCCTGAAACTTTCTCCTATCATTCAACCGAGATTAATTTCTTTCTTCAAAACTTTAACAACTGCTGTATATTACTTATATGCAGAAAGTGCTAGCTGTCTCTTAATATCTATCCTCCTCTTCTTCCTTAGTAACAGAAATCTAATTTTTAGTTCTTGGCAAATTGCCATATTTCCCAATCTCTCCAGTAGGTGGGTATGATCATGTGATTCAGTTCTGTAATAAGATATTAATACAAATATGATGCTGGAATTCCAGGACTGCTGTTTACAGAAAGCAGATATTAGCTTTTCTTCTTTCTCACTATTTTACTTATTATCCAAAATCTTGTTTTGGCTGGAGCTATTTTTGTTGAGTTTGTTAACTTTTACATTGTATTTTTTTTCTATGTGTCATCTCCACAACCTAGTGGAACCCACCTTGTATTTCTTTGCACCTTCTACAGATACTAGAAAACTGCCTCTGTAGGGCAGGAGATCAATAAACCTTTGATTGATTAACTGAATTAAGGTAAGGGAAAAAGTGAAAAAAGGAAAAAGAGCAAAAGACTATGGAGTGAGAATGTACAATTTCTTAGAAGAGAAAAAACATGATAAAAATCTGAAAGAACCACAAGAACAAGTTTTACTTCAGTGGACCTTATCACACAATTGGGCCTGGTGGGACAAATACGGTATAGTCACGTAGTCAGTGCAAAGCTCAAAACCATACTTAGTAAGCTTCCTCTCCAGCAAACAGTGTCTTTTGCTTCAGTTATCCAGACAATTGTGTCAAGTTTATTTTCTCAAATAGCCTGGACATTTTAAAGAGTAAGAAACCCAACTTAGGAACCCATATTTTGGTAGTGAATGCATAGGATTCCAAACCATATACAAAAATTGGCTTCCATCAGGATCATATTGTATAGATATTATTCTGTCAAATACTTGTGACAATATATAGAATAATACTTAGACAAGTGAAATAATGACTTAACAAAATATTACTGAGTCTAAACTAAGTAGCCCAAGAGATCATTTTTGTTAAATAGACTTTATTACCTCTCTCCTAAAACCCAATGATAATACAGCATCACCAAAAAATGTTACTACCTCTTTAAAAACAGTATATATTCTAAACATATATTTTGTAAAAACTACATCATAAAAGTTCTGTGAGGCTATGAGATGTTAAAAGCTGTGCAGCACTATATATGTAGAATTAATACTATCTAACAATGTTTAAAAGCTTTAACTGCATTTAAATACATGTAATAATAATTGACAGAGTATTTTAAACAGAGGTAATTGATATTTTACCTAGACTCAAGAGCCAGTTTGTACCCCTCTGATTTTATTCTCAATTATTTGTAAGTCACTGTACTGCATATCTGCTAATGAGTTAGGCACCAAAAAAATACAATATTCTAATTTATTTTTATGAATGTAGCAAAGTTTCAGGGTTTAAATAAAAATATTAAGTTAACAGAAAACTTAATTTCTTTCTCATTCTTTCATAACACAAATCATCTTTGTTATATCATGTATTTTAAAAATAATGATTAAAATGCTAAAATAACATCCCTATATTTGTTCTACTTATGAAAGTTGAACCACTTTTGACTCTTTTTACATATATTAATAGTTCTAATCTCAAAAAAATCACATTTTCTTGCAAGTTACTTATTATTTATATTTTCCTTTCAAAAAAATTTTTTTATATAGATTTCTTAGAAGTATCCAAGGCAGTAGCTTCTTTGACAGTGAAATGTACAAAACAAATGACATGTCAACAAGTAAATTAGCATTCCCTTTCTGACCAGCTGGGTCATGTTTCCTTTTCAAAATCCTCAGTCCCATGATACAAAATAATAATAATCTAAAAGACCTCATTAAATGATCAATATATTGACATAACCTCTATAAGTAGACACATAGTATTTTAATTGATTTCTTGAATCCATTAACTGGAATATTATAACCCAAGCCTCCAAAATATATTGTAAAAGAATATTTGCTCTATTTATTAACTAATTTTCTTCAGAGTATGGATAATGGCAGATGAAAATATTCAAGAACTTTTATATTTAGCCAAAGAGTAAAAAGAAGTCCAGCTTTCACTAAATCTTTCATACAAATAATATCACAGCAAAAGTTATAATAGACAAGTGAAACCACATTTACTTACCAAAAAACTTCCAAAGGCTGAATTAAATATTGCAGCTGCCTATAGAGAAAATAAATGGGGGGAAAAATTCATTGAAAATAAATAGAAATAGGAAAAGCACAGATTATCATTCTCCCTTCCCCCACTATTTGAAACCTTAAAACATTGACTCTATAAAGCAAAGTTAGTCACTGCTTACAAAAATTGCCAGTGGCCTGTAGTTTACTAAGATAGATGAGCTGCAGCTCAGTAATTCATAAATAATGGGTCTCAAAAGCAGGCAGAAAAGACTTGTCATGCCTTGAACCTATATGACAGCACCAAAAGAATCATCACCAATACTAAATCGAAACCTTGTTGTTATTGATTTTGCTACTAGATTTAAAACAATCAGAGGTTGATTTATTCACCAAAAAATTCATATTATGGGGAGAAGGAAAAACAGAATTGTAAGGCAAACAGTAACTGCTCCCTGTCAGTGAGCATAAGTCTTGTGAACTACAACCACAAGGTGAGCTCTGTTGTTCCCATACAACACACATTAGAAACATGAACAATGCCGTTAAGACCAGGAAAGTCATTGCTATACCATTAATTCTAAGGTAAAAACAGCAAGAAAAACTTCAGGTTGGTGTTCAACATTCAAAGAAGAAGTATTTGACTTTGTGCTTACCTAAATATCCATGGATACATAGCAGATGTTAATATAGCGCTTAACTTTAAATTAATCCCTATATTCAATGAAGCTACACCAGTCCTTAAAGCTTCCCACATTATCCAAAGAGGAGAAAAACTTGTTTAGCGTCCAATTTGATGAGAGAAAATAAGAGGAAAAAAAAATAGTAAAAGGAGTAGAGGAAACCTATTTACATCTCCTGCAGATCCAAAGCAGAATTAAATTAATCATCATAGACATTAGCAGCCACACTGTAGTAAAAAGAGGATGTCAGTTAAGTAAGTTTGAATAAAGTCCAAAGCCGGGCTAAGAGCTGTAGCTGAAAATGCCTTCTGCTCCAGGAGAGGATGCAATGAGAGTGAATGGGTAATGAGATCCTTGGCTCCAGAGAGCTTAGCTCTCCTATTCCAGTTCATAATTAATTCAAAGCTTTGATAATTTCATTAGATTTCTCCTTTGCTGGCCCTATCAATAAAAGATGGCACTGGACCACAGGTCCTCTGTGGCATAAACATAGGCACAGGCACAGACTAGGGAAACCTTTGCTTCCTGACAGGGACAATGGCATATGGTGTTTTGTGTTGTACTGGGAGAAGTGAAAAAAAGAAAAAAAAAAAAAGAGTTGGCTAAATAAAACATTACAGATGACAATTGTAAACTATAGCAACATATTTAACACATCTTCCTGGAATTACATTATGGATGATTCCAGGAACATGTTTTCTACATGGAGAAAAATAAGTAAAAGAGTATAAATACACGAATTGTGGTGAGATCAACAGGGAACTGCCCACAAACCATTTTTACATTTAGACCCTATTTTGTACGTAAAATGGATTTATCTCTCTTTTTAGTAAAGGAATGAGGTCTTCCCCTTTGAGCTCCTCTCTTGCGAATCCATTTTTTTCCAGTGCATTTCACTAACCTTATACTAGATAACTAGCAGTTTTGCCTAGCTTTTAAAGAAACATGGAATTATTTGAAGTAAAAAGACTCCAAAGTCAAAGTAAAATAAGTACCAACTACTACTCATCAGATCAAATTGCCATACTCCCATTCCCTCCTGCCTCTTTTTTAACCCAAACACAAGCAATATATTTTACGTGAATTGGCCGAGTTCCTGCATTTTGTAAAATGACAGTGATACTAGCGATGGGATATTTTAGGTACTCGAAGATGCCACAGGCTAATTCAGTTGTTTTCTGACAGTGGTGATGGATTTGAACTCACTCAGCTACAACATCTTCCCATGCAGTGAGCTCTGGCAATCTTCTGTGAAGTGACTGAATAAGGTTTTGGGTATTTTGAAGAACATATGAAATCAGACACTGGACCAAGGATCTTGGGCCCAACAGCAACAGATAACTAAGCTAATAATTGGCTCAATTCTTCAGTTACAGCACACACCTCTGGAAACCATAATTTCCAGAGTCCCAAAGAGTAATGATAAATATTTAGAGAGTATTTTATTGATATATAAAAAACATGCATGTCTGGCCAGGCGCGGTGGCTCATGCCTGTAATCCTAGCTCTCTGGGAGGCCGAGGTGGGCGGATTGCTTGAGGTCAGGAGTTCGAAACCAGCCTGAGCAAGAGCGAGACCCCGTCTCTACTATAAATAGAAAGAAATTAATTGGCCAATTAATACATATACAAAAAATTAGCCTGGCATGGTGGCGAATGCCTGTAGTCCCAGCTACTTGGGAGGCTGAGGCAGGAGGATTGCTTGAGCCAGGAGTTTGAGGTTGCTGTGAGCTAGGCTGACGCCACGGCACTCACTCTAGCCTGGGCAACAAAGCCAGACTCTGCCTCAAAAAAAAAAACAAAAAACATGCATGTCTTTTGATTTAAGGAGGAATTTCCAGCTCCTTAGAATGACGTTCAAGGCCCTCCATGAACAGGTCTCTGTCCATCTCATTTCCTGCCTCAAATTTAATATTCTGACAACATCAAAGTACTTGCAATTTCCTCAGTTCATCATGCCACTTCTTACCTCTTTGCTCCCTGGCCAGAAATACTCTTCTTTCCTCCTCTACCTGTGTAACTTTCACTTAAGTGATTGACTCAGCGTGGGCACCATCCTTCTAAGACGTTCTCTCTCCCCACATACACACAGCTTAGCGTACATACAAATCTACACTTACAGGTAGAACGAATGTCCCCATGCCTGCTGCTAGAACAACCTGAGCCCCCCTCTTTCTGCCTCAGCACTTGTCACACTGTACTGAAATGACCTATAGTTTAAGGAATCTAATAAAACTCACCCTAAGTACTTCATTAACTGAATTAAATAAGTAGGATTCCCTGAAATGTCCAAAGTCTTTCATTCTGACAAAGTTATTCTATGTGTATGTTTGGCAGAATCCAAGGATTGGCAGACACAGAAGACTCAATCTGACACCTGGTACCACAACCAAGCACCACTAGCAATGACAGGCAATCTGGACTTCTCACTCTCATCTAATCTAAGAATCTCTTTCCCAACATCTTGTTTTACCTCCTTTAAAGTGTTTGAACTTTCCTATTATGATATAGTTACATAAATTATATTTACCATAAATAATGTTTTAAAACTTACCACTGCTATACAGCAATAGTTAAGTAAAACCTAGAATTACCAAAGAAAACTTTGCAACCATTAAAAAAGGATGATCTGCATATGCTGCTATAAATGAAAGCAGCCCCACATATTTTAAATGAGAAATCAAGTTTTAAATGTATAGTTCCTACTGTGTACACATGTACACACACACACACACACAAACACAGATATAGTATAAAAACATACCATTTTTTCTGAAAGGGATCACCAAAAAAATTCCTAACTACGGTTCAATTTGTTGAAAGAGATTAAAAGGGGGTCATTTTTATTTTTCATTTTGCTCTATTTGTTGTGTTTGGCTTTTTAACTTTTTTTTAACACATTACCTTTTTAATTTCAACAGGGATCATGAGGGCAGAGAGATGTATGCCATTTATTGTTTGCTTTTTGAACCTCTGTATTAAAATATAATATTTTATTTAAAAATAAATTCAGATTTCAATTCCTACGTTGCATGTGAGTGATCTGTCTTGCTGGTTGCTCATAAGCTGGAGGCCGAGCACACTCTCGAGCACACATCATTGTGCTAGGAGTATAAGAAGGCACAGGATGAAGAGAAGACATCTTTTGGGAGTATCTACAGCATGTGAATATTTGATTTTAAAAACAAACAAAAAGTCCACCATTGTTTTTATATTAGCATAAACATGGCTATAGAGAACACAGTCGTCATGAACTGAGATCAAATATGAGCCCCCAAAGATAATTTGTTGTGAAGACGGTACCCTTTCTTTTGGGTTATGCTAACGGGCTCTCTTGGGATTTGAATTTTCTCTTCTCTGTCTTATGAAAGCCACACCTGGGATAGTCCACTAATTTTTAAACATAGCACTTGTTAATATCCCTTTGCTAGAAACAATTTCAAAATCCATTCCTCTTCTAGAATGCTTCATCATAACAAGCATTTTGCCTTATTTGTTGAATGAGTCAATGAATGAACAAATACTTCTTGTGCTTACTGAATGCCCTATACACTCATGTGTTTATTATTAACTCATGAATTCCATCTGCACAGTGTATACCTTGGAGTAATTATATTTGATGGATAATTACATCAATGCTAACTGAAAAAAGTTCATATTGAGGTAGTTTTTTAATATGGAATAGATTGGCTTCCTTTATATTACATATTTGTACATAATATATTGCTTTTGGTATCAACCCGATTTTATCCAATATAAGGTATTTTACAAATGTTTCATCATATATTATACACCATGTCTTTATTAAATTATTTGGAAAACTGAGCAAGTTCAATAATGAATTAATTTCTTCATAACCTACTTGGAATTATTTAAAATAAAGGTAAATTTAAAAAAAACTAAAGGCAATGGGGAAGAGAGTTCTCTAATCCATAATAGCAAGCTCTTTTATTGCTGAATGAATGGGTCTAAACATCATAAAGTTCTACCTTATAGAAAGCCTGAAACCTATAACTACCTGTAATTCTGTGCACTGACCATGTTCCATGCTCGCAGTTACATAAATATGTCTAGTCCCTTTTTCAAAATGCATTTTAAATATGTGAACACTGCTGGGCCCTACCCAAGTCTTCTGACATTATATCGAAAATTTTCATAATGCTAGTCCAACACCCCTCTCCTTCCTTCCTTCATGATTAAAAAATAAAATCTATTATTTACATTGAGTATGAATGATTTATGGCAAGTTAATGTATGAAACTTCCAGCTTTTGCTTTTGAATAAATACCCTGATTACCAGTCAAAGTACATAGAAATGTTTATGGAAATATTAAAATGGGACATTTATGGTTATTTCAGAA